TTGTTTGGATGGAATGTTCTATAGATGTCTGTTATCCCTATTGGGTCATAACTTCTGTTAGTTCCTTTGTCTCTTTGTTAAGTTTCTGTCTGGTGGTCATGTCCAGTGGTGAGAGTGGGGTGTTGAAGTCTCCCACTATAACTGTGTGAGGTCTTATTTGTGATTTGAGTTTTAATAATATTTCTTTTTTGAATGTTGGTGCCTTTGTATTTGGGGCATAGATGTTTAGAATTGAGACTTCTTCCTGATGGATTTTTCCTGTGATGAATATGAAATGACCTTCTTCTTCTCTTTTGATTGATTTTTGTTTGAAGTTTAACTTGTTAGATACTAGGATAGCTACCCCCGCTCCTTTCTTGGGTCCATTTGATTGGAGTATCTTATCCCAACCCTTTTCACTGAGGTAATGTCTGTCTTTGAATTTGAGGTGTGTTTCTTGTATGCAGCAGAAGGATGGATTCTGTCTTCATATTCAATCTGTTAGCCTGTGTCTTTTTATAAGCGAGTTAAGACCATTAGTATTGAGGGAAATTAATGTCCATTGAGTGTTTATTCTTTTCTTGTTTGTTTTTGATCTGTTGTTGGTTATGGTATTGTATGTGGATTTACCCTGCTTTTTCTTTTGGGTTTTTGTAAAGTGGGATTATCTATTGTCTATGTTTTTGTGAGTGTAGTTAATTTACTTAGGTTGGAGTTTCCCTTCCAGTACTTTCTGTAGGACTGGATTAGATGTTACATATTGTTTAAATCTGGTTTTGTTGTGGAATAACTTGTTTTCTCCATTTATGGTGATTGAAAGCTTTGCTGGGTATAGTAGTCTGGGCTGTCATGCGTGTTCTCTCAAAGTTGGTAGAATCCAGGTCCTTCTGGCTTTCAGAGTTTCCATGAAGAAGTCCAGTGTAATTCTGATAAGTTTGCCTTTATATGTTACTTGGCCTTTTTTCTTTGCTGCTCTAAATATTCTTTCTTCTGTACGTTTGGTGTTTTAATTATTATGTGACAAGGGTACTTTCTTTTGTGGTCCACTCTATTTGACGTTCTGTAGGCTTCTTGTACTTTCATTGGCATGTCTTTCTTTAGGTTGTGAAAGTTTTCTTCTATGATTTTGTTGAATATGTTTTCTGCACCTTTGAGTTGGGTTTCTTCACTTTCTATACCTATTATCCTTGGGTTTGGTCTTTTCACTGTGTCCCATATTTCCTGTATATTTTGTGTTAAGGATTTGTTGGACTTAAGATTTTCTTTGCTTGATGAATTTATTTCCTCTAGTTTATCTTCAGCATCTGAGATTCTGTCTTCCATCTCTTGTATTCTGTTGGTTATGCTTGTATCTGTGGTTCCTGATTGTTTATTCAGCTTTCCCACTTCCAGATTTCCCTCAGTTTTTGTTTTCTTTATTGTCTCTATTTCAGTTTTCAGGTCCTGAACTGTTTCCTTCAGCTGTTTAATTGTATTTTCTTGGCTTTCTTGATTTTCCTTGATTTCTTGCATCTTTTGGTTCATTTTTTCTTCCATTTCTCTGAAGGATTTTCTGATTTCCTGTCTTATGGTCTCTATCATCTGCATGAAGTTGTTTTTAAGGTTGCTATCTTCTGCTTCTTCTGTGTTGGGATGTTCAAGTCTTGCTGGTGTAGAGCCTCTAGACTCTGGTGGTATCATTTTGGTTTTCCTGTTGTTGGATGTGTTCTTAAATTGTTGTCTTCCCGTCTCTTCTTCCAGTGGGTGCAGGTGGTGTCATTTCCTTTCCTGGTATGTATGGGTCCAGAGTTCTCTTCAGGTGGGTGCAATTGGCTTGATACTCTGATGGGTCTCAAGGTGGGTGCAGGCAGGTCTAAGGCACTCAGTTTCCAGATGGGCGAGAGCAGAACTGGCACAAAGATGTCAGCCAACTCTGGGTTGCTTGGTCCTCAGGAACCAAGTCAACCTGCCTGCAGACCCCTGGGTAGGAGTTCCCAGATTGGGCAGGCAGAAGTTGGGCCCAAGTCAGGGGCCAAAGAAGTTCACCTCTGCACTCTCTACACTCTGCACTGCCTGAGGGTGGAGTAGCCCAGTGATCTCAGCAGAGTCAAGGCCTCTGTGTCTCCAGGGACCAATTCAGTCAGTCTGCAGACCCTGGGGCCAGATTTCTCAGAGTGGGCAGGAAGAAGCTGGGCCCAAGGCAGGAGCCAAAGCAGCTTACCTCTGCACTCAGTGGGGGCAAGAATAGCCCAGGGATCTCAGCAGAGTCACAGTGCCTGGGTCTTCAGGGATGGATTCAGTCCACCTGCAGACCCTGGACAGGATTCCCCACAGTGAAAATCCTAGAAATTCAGTTGCTTCTCAACACTCCATTTCCTGAACCCCACAAACTAAACCTAATTATGACTTTAGCACCAATCCTAATTTTGAATTCTCATGTTTTTCCTGATAAACGAATTTTTATAATTACAATAAATTGAATAATATGGCAATTTTAAAATGTAATTTTACTCATTAAATTATGAATTTCCAGTTACCAAAAATGCCTTCAATTTCCCTTATTATACATTCCTTTCATGTACCCTAATGTACTGAACTCTCCTTATCCTTACTATCCTATGCTTAGGATATACTATTGTGTCTGTTATTATAGAAGTCATAGTTACCTTAACTTTCCATCATACATTATTAGTATAGTTCCCATGGTTTTAGTTTGAGTGTCCTGACATGCAGCTATAGGATTAACACTACTTGTAACAGCATCTCATTTGTATGGAATACATTATGTTTAAAACCTTAGTCATATGCTAAAGTCATGTTAGCTACTTCTATATTGATTTAACATGGTATTCAAAAACCTCTATGGTTTGAATAGTTCTCCAGATCTTAATAATTAGCCTTACAATCCACTCTGTCTTTGAGAACTTAATGAAAGTAGCCCCAACTTTTCGTTTTACTTTTTTCTAAGATTAACCACATGATTTCTTCCATTTAGCTTACATCAAGCCCACATTATCTATCTAAAGAAACTGCTTACGAGAAATGTCACAAATCAGTACTATCTTTTCTGCAGTAACTTATCAGTTTAATGTCTTAGGAAACACCATTCAATTCTATCTTAATTATTGCTTGATGAAGCAACTAATCTAAACACCTAAACATGGAAATATATTTTATATTGTATTATTTTGTTGGATTTCTCCCCTACCTGCAACATCAAATTATGCTGAAAACACTCCAGGAACTGTTAATTTTCTAATCATAATACATCAATGAACACCATTAACTAATTTGTGATCAAACTTGTTGTAATCCACAGGCATCATAGCACTCATTGTTAAATTATTATGTATGGTTCTCTTCTATAACTTTTAGGGGCCATCTTGCTGAAGTTAGGAGATTCTGGAATGATATGAATTACTATCTTGTTAAATTAACAGAAACAACAGCTCATCATTTTATTTTTTTATTTATTTTTATTAATTCAAGTTAGGGAACAGGCTTGTTTCACATGTAAGTCCCTTCTCCCTCTCCTTCCCCTCACCCCATTTCTCCTCCCCCCCAACTACACCTCCCCTCCCCCAGGATCAAATCACCACTCCCCAGGCAGGGTAGGGCCCTCAACAGGGGTTCTGCAAAGTCTACCAAATCTTCCTGTGCTGGGCCTGGGCCCTTTCCCCACCCCTTTTTTTTTTCATCATTTTCTTTGTCTCTAGGAGGCATAGTTATCATGGGGTATATTCATTTACAATGAACTTAAGGCCCCTATTTACATATTCTAATTAGACATAAAGCACATTGCATTTTTGCAATTTTAGCTCAACCATCATGAAGCTGCTACATGGGGGTGACAGCTTTCATGATAGCACACAGCTTGACTTCTTCACAATCACTCTGCCTACTCAATTTATGAAGGAATCCATCCCTGAACCATAATCCTAGGCTGAATACTGCCATCTGTCTTACCCTTAATAACATGATCACTCACAGCCAACCTTATAAATCTAGCTTCCCACCTACTGTTAATTTCACAGTTTAGCTATTTTGTCATTAGTTTCCCGATTGTCTTATGCTACTTTTAGGGGATCTTAACATATACATTACAGTCCTTTATCATCTACATTCTGAATACACATCACATATGCATTAACCCCTCATTTCTACAAGAGACTATTTAATAGATGTTTCTATTATGTCATTGTTCTTTGGATCTTTCAAATCTAAAGTCATCATAGAGATCTGTTCTGTTTTAAAACTAAACATAGAGTGTGAATCTAATAATGCAAGTTTATTGTTTGCTGTTTGCTGAGAAAGCAGGGGAAAAATGGGAATCCATGGAACCATGCAGGAAAACAGCCTTCTTAGCTCTGAAAGAACAGTAACTTTTCCCTGGGGTATAGGAGCAATTTTGGAGCAACTCAGAATAAAAGTAATTAATTTTATATTGCCCATTATTTAAATCCAAGCAGCAGTTTTATATTTTTTCTATTTCAATATTCTTTACATGGCTATAAAAAACATCAGTTAGTTCAGGCATTAAATCTTTCAATTAAATATGTCTGTAATCCAGGTATAATTTCTACAATCGTATTTATTTATTCAGGCCACAGATCCGCTGTTTCCAAGTGACAGTGATTAACTACTACATCAGGAGGTTTGGGTTGGGCCTTGGATGGGGTGTAATTATCTTTTCCTATTTCATTTATAGAATGTCTACTTTTTACTCCTTGAAGGATAGTCACACAGGTTACCAGAAGTGGTGTAATTCTCCAGGAGGCTGAGGCCACAGACTTCTCAACACGTTCTGATTTCTCCACCACCTATTGCAGTCTCAAGTGCCTGCCATAGGGCACGGGGGCCCTGGCTAACCAATCCACTTTGGGTTTCTGGACAGAAGGTACTAGGCTGGTGGAAGTGGCGGAAGGACTTACCTCTCCCTCTGGGTCTCTCAATTCTGCAAACCCTATCCAGCAGTTCCCAGGCAGCTGCAGGAAACAGGAGTGCCATTGTCTTTGTCACCAGTCACATGCAGGGCACCTCACCTTAGCATTCCTTCACCTGCCCAGGAGCCCAGAAATAAGGAGGAACAGTGGAGTGTGAAGGGCGAAGATTTCGAAGATTGCGGATGCTCTCCTAGGGATTCTAGGGCGGGGTGGGGCCGGGCAATCCAGGACTGTTTACCCCTTCGTTTCTCTTCCTGTGGTGGCAAACTCACTCACAAATAATTAACCAGGAAGGGTATAAAGGTCGACAAATTAATAAATGAAGAGTAATTACAAACTCACATTTTCACATCTTTAATTTTATGTATGCAACAAAAATATTGAATGTAGAATTAGCTGAGCAAAGGGAATTGAAGCCGTTTATCACTTAATGATAATTTATTTCAGAACTGATTAAACTTCATCTGTGCATTTTGGTAACACATCTTTGACTTCTCTTGTAGTGGTCATGATACAAATGCTGCCATGTCTGCAAGAATTCAAATAATATTTATAAGATTTCTGTTAAACAAGAAATATTATTATAGGAATGATATTCAAAAAATGTGGCCTTTACTATTTCGGGTGGATAGGTACAAGAGATGGATGGAAGGGTTGGGGGAGTTGTCACCAGAAATAAGTTATGCTTGAAAATGCCAAAAGGAGACTTAACAGTTTCCATGCTAATTAAAAACATATAAAATTAGAAAGGGAAAATGTGACCTTTGATTAATCCTTGTAGGGACCTCCTGTTCTTGGAGTGATGACTTTCAAACTTAGAGGAGTAGATTACATGTGGAATGTTGCTGAGGTCACTTTGAATAAAAACTATGATTAACATTTGCCTATTTTTACATACCATTTCAGGGATGTGGCTTCATTATTTCAGTACAAAGATTAATCCACTTAGCTATTACTTTATTCCAAATGAATTACTTTGTGATTCTTAGCAAAAGTATGCCTTTAAAGAAAATATAATCTGATTTTTCACTTTAATGGATTTTACTTTAGAGAGACACTCAACTTTCTACCTTCAGGTAATTAATAATTCAACATGTTCTGTGTGATCCAATTTTCAAAACATTAAATACCCAAAAGAAGAAACTACTGTTGTCATATCGACATGTGAAACTATGCTGCTGGAAAAAATATTTAAAATGCTCTGCCATCTGGATTATGACCAAAAATTTCGTCAACAAATTTACTTTGAATAGTAGGAGAAATATAAGCTTGAGTCACCAGTGAGACTTGAATTTTGTTTCTTCACGACTGTGGTAAAAGGAAAACAATCAGTGCTTTACTGGAAACTTTGCTACCTTCCCGCTAGATTGATCACATTTCCTCACTTAGTTGTGAAATGTGAGGGAGTGATTTAAAGCACTGTTTAAAGAGATGAGCAAGAAAAGGGAGTCTGGCAACACTCACTCTCCCTAATATCTAAACCTAGTGGTTGCTTCAGTAGCCTCAAGGTCCAAATCACAGTTACGGTCAAGGCATGCAGGTGCATTCCTCTTCTAAGTTTGGCTCTCCTCTCCTTGGTGTGCTGGGCTTTCTGCTTAGTTAACAACTGCAGCCATTCCTTTCTGTCCGGCTTTCTGACTAATCCTGAAATTCTTCTCTGTGGCGTTAAGAATTAATCAGGTCCCGAGGAGCAACCCCTGGGCACTGGGTTGGCACCCCCGTGCTGCCCAGCCTTCATCAAGTTTCATTTCCAGGTGCAGGTACCAAAACAATGAAAAAAATTTCGTCCACTTGGGATCTAACCGAAGTGTTGGTATGTTTGTTTATTTTTTCCCTCCTGGAATTTGCAAAATTTATTAGGAAATCTTAGACTTTTTTCTCCTCTATCATTTTTAAAGGTTTCAGCTGGTTAAGAGAGTTGAGGTCCTAGTATAGGAGTCTATGATATTTTTGACGTTGAGAAGATCCTGAAAAATAGGGATCATTTTTACTGACTGAAATGGGTGTTTTAATAACAGGATATACATAGTAAAATAAACTATTTTTTTATATTTTCTGCAAATCTATATTTTGCTCTTACAAATCACCCTAGATCAAAAATTGTCTCAAACTGGGTCAACATGTTTTCTTACATACTATGCAAGTGACATGCTATGTGATAGTTGCAACCATTTTTAATAAATATGGATGGTTAAGGAAACCTTTATCTAAGAAATTGTAACAAATGTTAAGTTTCTTAAAATAACTATTTCATTGTTTGCATGAATGAATAACTAGAAAAATAATAAAAATAAGTTGTAATCTTAAGAAAGCTTTCCGTGTGTTTAGATGAAAAGCTTTCTATCACAACTACAAAGGATATGGAGATGGCATGGAATCATACCTGCGTTGTGGATAGGAGAGAGAGAATTCATATCTTTAAGGAAGAATTGAAGGGCATTACATAACTGCAATCCTAGCTCCCGGCCCCTCGTGTGAGAGCAAGGTACAACAGCTTAATGAAGTGCACTTTGAAACCTCATGTCAGGCCTAAGGAGATAACCTTAATGATAATATAATAGGGTGCAGCAAACGGAAATCATCACAAGGTAATTAAAACATAAATTAAGGCTATATTCTTCATTTTCTTTGATTTTGTAGGTATATATCCTTCATAAAGAAATATTCCTCTTGGCTTCCTTTAAATTTGAAGCATCCACCCAAGAGTAAGTGTTTAGATGTCAAACTTGGGATTCTAGAGGAATGGAGGAATAATTGTAAGGCTACCATGAACTTGAGCTTAGTCAAAGTTACTTAAGAGTTGAGCCAATCCTTTTCAAAGTCGGCCTGTAACCACAGAAAAAAAAATACTAGTTTCTAAAATTAATTTCAGTATAGCCTTTAAAGAAGTTCAGTATGTTTTAGTAGTTACATAAATTGACCAAAATTAAGAAAAGGTTATTGCTGAAAGTGAAAACTCTGAGGATTCAAAAATGTATACAAATGGCTTTCCTTTTATGTTAATAAAAATTGTGTGATTAATTTGTTATGTATAATTATATTAACAAATTAAAAATAAGAATTATAGCAGATGTCTGAAACCATAATCAAAATGTATAGCGTAGCTGACCCTGCACAGGTAGTTATCTAGACTCTCCACAAAGTGCCATGGACTTGAGCCTGTGACGAAGGGTTCTCCTTGAATGAAGTTTCCGCCATGTTCCTGACTGCTGTGGGGATGGCCAGCAGCAACCCCCTGAACAGGGCTTGTCATGTATGTGTTTGGTGCAGAACGATAAAGCTCTGTTTTCTCAAAGTTTTTCCTCATGGCCTCGTCTTGCCTGTCCTTAGACCTGTGAAGATCACAAAGGAAAACATTACCATCTCATTTTCCCCATGAAGGACTCTGGAAAAAGGGCAAAAACGTAAATGAAATTCCCCACCAAACAAGAACACTATATATGTGTTAGATAAGTAATGTATGCAGTTATTATTTAAAATTGAGCTGGGAATAATTGTATTTCTGCATTCCAAACTAAAAAAAAAAAATCAATGCGTGAGGCAGGGAAATGGCTGTCACTGGTCTGTGGTTTAGCAAGTTAAACTTCTACCCACTGGAATGGCGCTCCTGGAAGATTTTATTGTTTAACCACTTTTAAATTATGTTTTCTTCACCTTCCTGTTAACCTTCTCCTACATTGCAACTTGAGTTCACACAGCACAGAAAATCTTAGGAAAGCTATCCCTCCAAATCCCGCAGTGGCAACACCAAGGAACCCAGTTAAAAGTCAGTTTACACAGTACGGCAATGTGGCCCAGGTGTGTAGCACTGGCACTACTTGATCCCTGAGCTTGGGTGTCATACTCAAACAATAGTTAAACTACTAATTTAAAAATTCATGGGTATTCTGATCTACAATTTTACAACAGTATGATTATATGAAAGACATAGTACAAGGATACCATGGAGAGAAATGCCATGCAACCCAAACTTGGAAAATAATAGAAACTACTTTGGGTAAATGTTTCAAAATTTACCCTGTTATAAACGTTATTTTCCATAATCTAGCTTGATTTCACATCATTAGAAACTTTTGAATGTCTTTCACTGACAATTACTCTCCATATACAAATTATTATCATTAGCTTTCTTTCCCCATATATATGTATAAAATATTTTATATATAAATACATATTTGTATTTAGATAATTTTTATATAATATAAATATAATATAATCTTATGGAACAGAAATAATTTTATGTAATATAATCTTATGTAACAAATAATTTTATATAATATGTCACATACATAGGATATATAAATATATTTTAACTTACTTTAGCTGTTCATGAGATAATGACTTTGTCATTTCTATCATTTCAAGATAGAGTTCCTCATATTGATTTGGTTCAGCTTTATGTGAGGTTTGATGAGCTAATTCTTCTGGGTGTTTGGGCTTCAGGTTTGTAATTTTGGGTTCCTGTGGCCTCATGTATGAAGCTTTATGGTTTCCTCTTCTGTCATCAAAAGTTTGTTGATTTTCTTCTCTTTCCTGAAAGAAATTTAAAACACATGTATTTAAAGTTGTAATAACAATAAATGTATGTGTTTGGTTCCTGTAGTTTCAAGTCAATGATTCTCAATGTTTAAATATGTGAAAAAGATAGCCTTAAAATATTTATCAACAATATTCTCTACATTTGATTCAAAATAAAAACATCAAAACCAGATCTAGGATTCTGTGTATATATTTGTGTCTGTGTGTGGTGTTAAGCTCTGAGTCATTGGTGGTAAATTCTATATTATTGAATCACTCTCATGTTATTGTCATGGAAGTAGATATTTGGGGGGAAATTATAGAATGGGTTAAGAATGTAGAGAGAGAATAACTTAAGTTGAAACCATTTTCAGAGTATGTTGTTCTCTGGACTCAGAATATAAAATCAAAGTGCTTCAGAAAGACTGACATGAAGTTTGTAAAGGCCGATGGAGCAAAATGATGCAAAAAGTAATAGGAAAGGAAACTGTCCTTACATAGCAGCCACAGGAACATTGGCAGAGGGTTGACTGAGAAGAATCACCTCTGGGAAGAAATGATAACTGAGCTGGGGTCAAAATGAACTGAAGCATTTCCTTTGAGAGTGAGCTCCTTCCATAGCAACCAAGTCAGCACAGTGTGACCTGCCCTCTCTGTCTTCCTCACAGCCCTTACAGTGAACAGGAAGTGGTTTTAAGTTTGTAAATAATAGTTGGCTTCATCCATATCGACTGATTGTTTAATAGGGTTGAGTGCAAATGAGCCTAATTTTGAATGGAAGGATTATTCGTTTTAGCAACTATCATTTTAAATATTCCTTCCACAAATGACAGAATCTAGGAAAATCTAGCTTGCTTCTAATGAACAGAATGTTGCAAAAGTGATGCCTTGACTTCCAGTAGTTTATAAAGTGTTTTACATTAGTCTTATCTCCATGCTGTGAGGACATCAGTCAAGAAGGAAAGCCTAGGTGTTTCCACACGAGCATTCCACCACCCTACTGAAAGGAAGCTCTTTCCAGAACCCAGAACCATTAGACAAGTTAGGGGTCAAGGACATCAGCCTCCTATCCTTCCAACCTGTCCTAGCCAAACATCATCTGAGAATAGAGGACCTATTCATCCTTGTTAAGATTTTCTCAAACTGGAGATTGTGAAACAAAGTGGATATTGTTTAATCTGCTAAATTTTGCATAATTGAAATAAATGGTCAAATGATGGATTTGAAAAGATACAGAGTAGAGCTTCACAGAAATTAATTTCTTTTGAAGAAGCCCAAATAACTAAGAGTTACTTAATAATGACAATGCTAATGAGAAGCAACAGAAAGCCACTAGTCAACAGAACTCCTGAGGAAGAAGACTGGTATGTAAAATAAAAACAAAGATTGTTTTATAAAAAATTAAATTAAATTAAAGACTTAAATAAAAGAAATTCTTACAAATTCAAAATACCTAGTAATAAATATATCAGTGATGTTTGTCACAGTGAATATCAGAAGAAATATACATAACTATTAATAAAAATGAATTGCATTCCTAAAAGAGATACTTTAATTATATGCTTAGGTGGCAAGATTCATCTCATAATTCCAGAGGATATGAGAAAGTATATCCATGAGATTGTGAATAGCAGAAGCAGAATTCACATTTCCATATTGGTTGTGATTTTAAGACTTTTTATATCACTGTGATCTGAGCCACCAGTCCAAGTAAAAACCAGGACGAAAGACAAAAATTACTTGATTATGCCAATTTGAAACATTTGATTAAGAAAATTACTTTTATAATACAATTGTGTAGCAATAATGATATTGAACAAAATTGATATCAATATACATGAAATAAGACAGCAATGAAGGTCATTTTTCTATTCTTTTTGGTGTAGCAAGTCTTTCACAAAAAGTATCCATCTCGGATTCCTTTAAATTCTAAACATCCAAATGAGATTTTATATATTCAGATGTGAATTTTATGATGCTTGCAGAAGACTCTAAGTTTACTATGAATGAGAGACCTAACAAAACCACTTAAAATCGGAGCAAATCTCTTTCAAAGTTTACCCAGAATGATAGGAAACAATACAAGTTTTATAAGATTTAATTTCCAAATGCCTGTGAAAATCTGTGTCATAATAAACATATCTAATGACTCAAATTAAGACATGGCTATTTGTTGAAAATGCCATCTCGAAGGATTTTTAAAATGTATAAAATTGGTTCTCTTTCTTCATTAACACAAAATTGTTGAGATTAATTAAAGATGAATAAATTAATTTAACTCAGTGTGCCACCAAATTAAGAACATAATTATATCAGATTATTTGAAACTAAAGAAAAATGTACAGCATAATTCACCCTGTTTAGGAAGCTTGCCAAACTCTCGGCAAAGGGCTGTGGCCTTGAGCTTTGGATCAAGGGTTCTCTTCCCACAAAACTGCTGTGTTCCCAACCATTGTTGAGAAGCTCAACTGCAAACCCTGGAGCAGGGCTGGTTGTGCTCATGTTTGGTGCAGAACTATAAGGCTCCATTTTCTTAAAGATCTTCCTCATGGCTTCCTCTTGCCTGTCCTTGGACCTGTGAAGATCACAAAGAAAACGTTAGCATCTCATTTTTCCTATAGAGAACTTAAAAATGACAAAAAAAAAAAAAGAATTTTCCTACTAAACAATGTCTGAACACTGTAAATGTGTACATTTGTGTACACATTTATTACTTATGAATGCTCAGCCTCAGCTTGGCTTGTTTCTTGCCAACTTTTCTTAACTTAAATTATCCTGTCTAGCTTTTGCCTCTGGGCTTTTATCTTTCTCTGTTTCTGTATAGCTTGCTTTCTTGTCCCGTGGCTTGCTGTGTAGCTGGGTGTCTGGCCCCTGAAGTCCTAGACTCCTCCTTTCTTTCATACCTTGATTCCTCTTCCCAGATTTCTCTTCCTGTTTATTCTCTCTGACTGCCAGCCCTGCCTATCCTTCCCTGCCTGGCTATTGGCCGTTCAGCTCATTATGTACAAAAAATGAATTTTCCTACTAAACAATGTCTGAACACTGTAAATGTGTACATTTGCTACACCAAAAAGAATAGAAAAATGTGTAAATGTGTACATCAGATAAGTAATGTGTACAGTTGTGAGTTAGAATTGAGCTGGGAATAATTGTATTGCTGCATTCTAAACTAAAAAGAAAAACAATGTAAGAGGCAGGGAAATAGCTGTCACTGGTCTGTGGTTTAGCAGGTTAAAATGCTACCTATTGGAATGGCTCTCCTGGAAGATTTTTGATGGTGTTATTAGAAATATTTGTATCAGCCAAGGTCTGTGTGAGATGATGTCTGTGATAACTTCCTTGATTGTAACAGGAATTAAAAGGAAGGAAAGTGGCTTCTGAGACAGCAAATCCCATGTCGTGATGGACAAGGCCACCCATTTTGTCTCCACATATCCCTCCCAACAAACAAGGAACTGTTGTAACTACTATTAAATTATGATTTTCTTCACTTGTGTGTTAATCCTTTCCTACATCATGAGTTGCAACCATGGGTTCACACAGCACAGAAAAACTTAGGAGGACCATCTCTCCAAACCCCACAGTGTTAACACCAAGTAACACAGTTGAAAGTCAATTTACAAAGTGTTAGATTATGGCCACCAATGTAGTATTAGTACTGTGTGTCTATGTACTTACATTATCACATTCAGAGAACAGTTACTTATAATTTATAAATACATGCTTATTCTGTTCTGCAATTTTAAAAGAATGTATGTTGTAGAATATTAGTTAAAGATGTGTTACACTCATTTAAGCTGTGGAACATTTGTTTAATGATGCAAAGATTGTTGCTTTATTTTATGTTGCATTTTTGTTTAAGTCTGTGAAGCTGTGTTCCTTTGCTTGTCTAAAACACCTGATTGGTCTAATAATGAGCTGAACGGCCAATAGCCAGGCAGGGAAGGATAGGCAGGGCTGGCAGTCAGAGAGAATAAACAGGAAGAGAAATCTGGGAAGAGGCATCAAGGAAAGAAAGAAAGGAGGAGTCTAGGACTTCAGGGGCCAGACACCCAGCTACACAGCAAGCCACGGGACAAGAAAGAAAAGTATTGGGGAACAGAGAAAGATAAAAGCCCAGAGGCAAAAGCTAGACAGGATAATTTAAGTTAAGAAAAGTTGGCAAGAAACAAGCCAAGCTGAGGCTGGGCATTCATAAGTAATAAAAAGATTCATAAGTAATAATAAGTCTCTGTGTATTTATTTGGGAGTTGGGTGGAGGGACCCCAAAGAGCCAAAGAGTAAAAATCAAGCAACAACAAATGTAACTAAATGTAAATAAGAGGCACAATATGAAGATATTGTTGGCTTAAGCACCATGCAACCCAAACTTGGAAGGTAATAGCAACTATTTTTTGAGAAAACATTTTAAAAGAACATTCACTTACTAAGATTGCTTTCCAAAATTATATTCTCTAGCTTGATTTCACATCACAAAATCTCATCAATGTCTTCCCCCAACAATTATTTTTTAGAGACAAATTACTGACTTACCTTAGTTGTTTACGAGATGATCGTTTTGTCATTTTTACCCTTTCTAGATAGGGATCCTTACACTTTTTTGATTCAGCTTTGTATGAGCCTTGATGAGTTGTTTTTTCTGAGTGTTCAGATTGCAGATTTGTAAATCTGGATTCCTGTAGACTTATGAATGAGGCATCATGGTTTTCTAGTGTGCTATCAACAGTTTCTTCATCTTCTGCTGTTCTCTGAAAGAAATTTAAAGGATATCTTTTTCCTTTAACTGTGATAGAATTAAATACTGTACATTTGTTTCTTTTAGTTTTGGGCCACTAACTCTGAACATTTAAATATGTGAAAACCATAGAATATTCAAAATATTAAATACTAAACAATATTTTACCTTAAGCTATTTATTAAAACATTTATAGTCAATGCTGTTCACATGTGATCTGAATTCTATAAAACTGATATAGGTTTATGTGTGTGCATTTGTGTTTGTGTTTAGAATTGAGAGTCGCAGTAAGTCTGTTACATTGAAGGTTAGTTCTACAGTGCTTACATACTTCCTCAGCTTTAAATCATAGGGAATTAGATACTTTGGAAAAGTCACAGAATCAATTGAAAGTATTAATAATGAATGATTTATATTAAAATTATTTTCAGAGTATGTTATACTCTGTATCTAGAATATAAAATCACAAGTGCTTCTGAAAGTCTCCTGCCAGATGTCTGGTGGTGGTTAAAGCACTGATATAAGGACATTAAACTGTGAAAAACTGACACAAAAGTCTTGGGATATGGAGTTGTCATTCCATAGCAGCTATAGAAACATTAGCAGAGGGATGACTGAGAAGAATCACCTCTGGGAAGAAATGATAACTGAGCTGAGATCAAAATGAACTGAAGCATTTCCTTAGAGAGTGAGCTCCTTCCATAGCAACCAAGTCGGCACAGTGTGACCTGCCCTCTCTGTCTTCCACACAGCCCTCACAACTAACAGGAAGAGGTTTTAAATTAGTAAATTAAAATTGGTTTCATCCATAATATTATTTGATAGGAGTTTTGTGCAAAAGTGAGACTAATTTTCAGTAGTTAGACTATGTAACTTTTAGGGACATAAATAATAGTTTGAGAACATGTCATTTTTAAATATTAATTCCACAAATGATGGAATATAGGAAAACCTAAGTTTGTTCTAATGAACAGAATGTAATAGATTCATGCCTCACGATTCCTATGTAATTTGGAAAGTGCTTAATATCAATCCCATCACCATTTTGTGAGGAATGTGGGAAAGCCCATGTGTTCCCACATGAGTGTTCCACCTCCCTACTGCAAATGAAGCTCCTCCCAGGTAGTACCAATATCCAAAACAAGCAGACACATTAGGGAATAACACTCCAGAGGACTCCAGCCTCCCACTGTTTCAATCTGTCCCAATTGAATGCCATGGGAGGAGATGACCTGTTCTGTGTCAAGATTTTCCCAATCTGTAGATTTTTGAACAAAATAATATTAACTCATTAAATATTGGATAATTGAAAAATAAATTGTCAAATAATAAATCTGTAATGAACCAATGTAGGCTTGCACAGAATTTAGTATCTATTAGAGAAACAAGACCATTCTAGTGAGAAGTTTTTATGTCATGTCCTTTCAATTCAAATTCTTACAACTCTTTAAATGTTTTTTAACTTTTTAAAAAGAAAATTACAAGTTTAGAATAATGTGAATCAGGGATAAGTACAATTTCAAGTGCAGTCAACAGATGGCTGTGCTTGTAGTCAGTTACCCACCCCTTCCAATCTCATACTCTTTCTGTGCAGCCTCCAGCAATGATCCTTGAGCCTTTGGAGGAATGAATGCAATGCAAATGTTCTTTTTAAGGCTGGCTTGCTTTATTATTATTATAAAAGAGTATTGTCAGTGGAGAATGTGGCTAGAGTGTGTAACCACTGAATTTTATTAGGCACTAGCAAAACAATTGGCATTGGAATTCTACAAATGACTGAATTTGATTTTCCATATCCTAATTATTGCTTAATCATCCCCTAAATTAAGCACATCTCTGTGGTATGGAAGTGGTCATACAATGCCTGTTGCTTGGTTTTTAGACATCAACTTTGCTTTGAGACAAGAAAGAATAAATTGTTTATTCTTTGAATAGAAAACTTACAACTCTTTTATTGATAAAAAAGTTGGTAATATTTTTAAAACATTTCACTGTGGAAGCATTGAGAGTTTTATTTTCCTAACTGACTTTTTTGGGTACCCTAGCTCCTGGAAAAGTACCTCATGTCTTGGTAAATCAATTGGACTCTCCATTTCAAATTGTCTGGTGTTGGAAACTTCAGAGAAACTATGCTTTCCATTTTCACACTCAGTTGTTTTTGTCCTTTTAAAACATTTTTTACTTCTACAAGAGTGTAAAGACAGAGTTAATGACAGCTTCTAAAGAGTAAACATTTGCTAAAGTATATAAATTATGATTCTCATTTGTTTCAAACTAACTTTACTGGAAATCATTTAAAAATTATAACCTCAAGTAAATATGAAGGAAATTATTAAGACACACACAGCATGCAAATAGCTCACATTGAGCCCAAATGATGAACAGGCAGATATAGGACTTTCTGTATAAGTCTCATGACCTGAATTCAGTCCCCAGATTCCACAAAAGGGAAAAGATGAGAACTGACATTGTGGCATTGATTGTTCTCTGACCTACACACACACACACACACACACACACACACACACACACGGATAAAAATATTTTATACTATATTTAGTATAAATTTGTGTGTGTGTGTGTGTGTGTGTGTGTGTGTGTGTGTGTGTGTGTGTGTGTACTGTTAGACTTCATTATCTATGGGCTTATAACCAAGCAATCAAACAGGTCTCAATGGAAATATTGGAAAATACTAAATACGTACTGAGGCAGATCTTAATTCTATTCTTCAGTTACTGAATTTAGTATAAACGAATTATAAATGGTATTAAAAGTTGTTGCACTCCACAACCTGACAGCAAAACCTCATTGCTAAAGTAAACACTCACACAACTCATTGAACATGGAAAAGTTGATCTGGTGCCTATATAGAACCTCAACCCTACATTCCAGTGCCTTTTGAATGAGACAGTATTTTTCAGGCTACCAAAGAAAATCTCAAAACACCAACTCAATCACAAAACCTTTGATTTACAATGCCCGCCTGCCTGCAGAATATGCTAGGAAAATGATATCAAAAAGCCCGTGGGAGTAACTAACCAATATCTGATTTGGCCTACTCCACAAGATGGAACATATACCTGACACTACTTGGGTGACAAAGACCCAGATACTAGATAGCCCAGAAACCAAATACTACTGGTCTTTTAAAAATAGTGATAAAATGATGCCTAATAGTAGTCTGTTATACTCTTAGATCAGTACCTTATTCAACCATCATCAGAGAAACTTCCTACTGTAATAGATGGGAACCAATTCAGAGACCCACAGCCAGATATTACACACAGAGAGAACTTGGAACACACAGCTCTAAAGGGGAAGTCTCCATCAAATCCCTGCCCTCAGAGCTTAGGGAACCCTGTTGAAGAGGAGGCAGGAAAAGGGTAAAGAGACAGAAGGAATGGAGGATTCCAGGAGAACAAAGCCTTCTGAATCAACTGAGCAAGACTCATATGAACTCACAGAAACTAAAGCACCAAGCACAGGGCCTACACAGGTCTGCACCAGGCCCTCTGTGTATAGTTTTCAGTTCAGTATTTTGAGGGGACTCCCGAGTGTATGAATGAGCAGGTCTTTGATTCCTGTGCCTGCTCTTGGGGCTATTTTCCTTCCATTGGCTTGTTTTGTCCAACTTTAATGTGATAGTTTTTATTTTATCTTAATGTATTTTATTGTTATGTTTGCTTGTTATCTCTTGGAAGCCTGTTGTTTTCTGGTGAGAGACAGAAAGAGAATGGATTTAGATGGGTTGGGGTGTGGGGGAGTAACTGGGAGGAGTAGAATAAGGGGGAAACTGTAATCAGGATATACCATATGAGAAAAAAAAATCTATTTTCAACAAAAATTTTAAAAGAATGAAACTTTGTGAGGAAAAAAGTAACCTATAGATGATAGAATTATTAGAAGGCATAGCCATGTTATGTATAAATAGCACGTCATTTTGTATAAGGGTCTTGAAGATACATAGTGTTGTGATTTAGAAGGTAGTATATGCCTATAGACACATGAGAGTGAAGGCTTGGTCTGTATCTGGTGGTAATGACTGGAGAGACTGTGGTTCCTGAGAACATGGGACCTGGCTTGACATGTAGGCACATGGGGGAAGTGCTATAGGGTCATATTCTGATGCCACTTCTGGGTCTTTCTGCTTCCTGGTCTATGGGATGTGAACAAAGTGGGCAAGCAAGCTAATGCTACCACAGAAGGCACTACCCTCCCCCATGCCTTCTCTGCCAAGATGGGCACTATTGTTTCAGATTATGTTGTAGAAGTCATTTTTTTATCAGGCATTTGATTGGGGACACGACAAAAAGTAATGTACATGATGTGGGTTTCTGCCAGATGTTCTCAAGACAATCCATTCCTGATGCCAAGGGATGGGTAAGGTGGCATGTGGGTGAAAACCAATCTGTACCTGTCACCATTGTCTTTTTCTTCTGGGCAAGGAATGCTTTTAAAACCAAGTAAGAATAACAGAAAATTTAGTATTTGTAAACCAAGGAGAGTTGTAAGACCTTTGGAACTTGAATTCAGTCACTACTTCAAGATGAAGTCAGAGACAGTGACTGCATTTATTTCCCCAAACGAATGTGGCATCGAACAACCACAACCTTCCCAAACTTAGGCAGGTGAAGGTCCCTTCGATGTCTCACAGGAGCTGCAAGCTTCCTTTGTATTCTACCCACCTGAGCCCCATGGAGAAAGACTTTGGAACTGTTCCCATTTCCCTTTGAAGAGCTCTGAGAAGTTTCCTACCCTTTCTTCAAGGATAGCCAAATACTTTATTATACCACCAGGGAGTCCTACACACAAATTGATTTTCTGAATTCACCATGGTTTCATGTTTTGTTTAAACAAAGAAAAGGAAGCAGCGACTACAACTCCTTTAGTAACAATCCTATTTTGCTTCATTTAAGAGAAAGGCTCAGTACACAGGAAAAAGGCCTTAGCTCAAACACCCAACCAAATGAATAAATAACCATATATAGATCAGCAGACAGAAAGACAGAAAGACAGACATGTGCATCTTAGGAGCATATGGAAAACACCTAGAAAATGGAATGTACCTGGTTTATGTTGTGATTGAAAAACAGAGCAAGGGCATGTTAGTAGACTCAAAATACTTTTTTGATGTTGTTGAAAGAGAATACAGATGGGCTATTTTATATTAAAGGATTGGCTGGAGCCTTGAAGGGAAGGACGATATTAAAAGAATGAAAGAACAAGACATATTCTGAACAAAAATGCAGGGTTGATGAGTTAGCTGAACATCCAAGACTTGACTGATAGTATTTCAACACCATTAAAGAGGAATATGGGCTTGTACAACTACTTTAAGGTTTTGTTTTGCATTTCTGAGGTAAATTGTAAACTACTACAATTTAGGTCAGAAAATGCAAATGCAAAATGAATTCCTACTTTGATTTTTGTGCAAGTACAGTAGAAACAAAGAATGAATGCTGAAACAGATATGAAATATATACATCTTACAGGGTTTTCTCTTTAGCTGATTCCATGCTTTTCTTCTTTGTGTGATCCAGCTCAGGCCTCGGACACAGAACTAACTTGATGGGTTCTTTATTGAAATCTTCATTGTTGTCTGCAGACTTTGAAAAGGTGGGAAGATAGTTTTTAAAAGCACAGACGATGTTCTTTCCTGGACCTGTTGCTTCTCACAGGATCACCAAGCTAGGGAGATTCTCCAAGTGTTGCAAATCTTATGCTCACAGACACACAAGTGAAAGCAGAGGGCTTTCCCTATAGCAACTCAAGTTGATGGACATTTTCCCCCTTCTATATTGCTGAAATTTACATAACAAAACACAATTTTTGTACTTATGCCTGTTAATAATTATTTTTCTGGTTGATGCTGCATTTGGTTTCTGGTGGTGTCTCCATCTGAGGATGCCCCACAAACATTTCACTTTTGGGAAATGCCTGCTTCTGATTATATGTTTTATGTGCAGCTGACTCTAAATGAAAACACCATTACTAACATCACACATTCACACAGGGGACTGCCTTTTCTATCAACCAATCCTCTAGAAAGGCTGAACAGGGCCAGGGTTAGGATTCTGCAGCTCAAAGTGTTTTCAGCCAAACCCGACTAATTCAGTTCTAAGCCTTAGAGAACACATGTTTGGAAGAGACCATGAACTTCTCCAAGTTGTTTTCTGGCCTCAACATGTCCTTTGTTCATCCCCTCAAAAATACTAAATAAATAAGAATGAATTTTAAAACTAAGCAATTCAGGAGTCTGCACGTGGAAAACTCAAATCTTCTTACTCAGAGGGAAAAACATTAATAACACTAACCACATCCAGGTTGGCTGTTCTGTACTGTTTTGAAGATTGTGGCCTTGAAGTGGGAGTCAGCATATTGGGAGTCACCATATTCTCTTGGGTAAAGAGGTTTCCCAAACACTTGTGAAAGTTTGCCACACAGGGACACTCAGAGGCAAGTACGTTTAGTAATGACATGTTGTGCTGAGTCACCATGCGAAACTGGGTCGTGACCTCCTTCAGCTGATCTTCAGTCCTGTGAAGAATGGGAAGCAAGTAGTATCTCATTATCCCCTAATCAACTCATCGGTCATCTGTCTCCCACACAGCACCACACAATGAAGAAGGAAGTATTTGGAAGCACCATGTGAAATACTCTCTATTTCATGCTGTGTTCATATTTGCCTGAGCTGTGAGTGTGCCTTTATGGAGAGGATGGATGCTCAAAAGAACTGTTTGTGTCTAGATTTTCTCTGGTGGGAATGCTCAGGACCAGTGTCAAGGCCAGTTGCCCAGTGGTAAACAATATCCAGAAGGGGCAATCAGTCATCCTTGACATGAAGAGTTCATGTTACAACAATCTAGAAAATACTCAAGTGTTCAACATTCAGATTTCAGGGAATGCTGACAATGTACGTATATGGAATAAAAAGCATCAACAGGGGGCTGGAGAGATGGCTCAGAGGTTAAGAGCACTGACTGTTCTTCCAGAGGTCCTGAGTTCAATTCCCAGCAACCACATGGTGGCTCACAACCACCTTAAATGAGATCTGGTGACTTTTGCTGGCATGCAGGCAGAAGACTATACAAAATAAATAAATAAAATCTTTTAAAAAAAACATCAGCAAATTTGTTGGAAAAAAATCTAAGAAACCAGGATAAATATGAGAATACTAAGAGAACACACCAGTACATACACCAATAAAGGAGAAATAGTATCTGGATTAGCTTCCTACACCTTAGTTCATTCGTCATCATCGTTTTTCAAGATTATATTTTCTAGTGAGTCTTTATGTCCATAATATTGTTAAAATACACTAAATTCCTGTCCTACATGATTCTTGGACTTGACTCACTCCCTCAGTTTATGTGACTGATGAAGTTCGTTACAGTTTTCCAGCGCCAGCACATCATTATAAGTTTCCATCTTCATTTCAGAGATTTTGCTTTCCAGACTTTGAATTCTGAATTCCAGCTGTCTCATTACTGAAGTGGTGTACATTTCTCTGAAGTTATTAACAAATTCTTGACCTGTTTGCATCTGAAAAAAGTTAAAAGGACTGAGACATTATAGATTTAAATAACCATAATATAAATAAGAATGCATTACATTTCTGTAGTTCTAGTCAGTAATTTTGCTGGAAATGTAAATGTGTTGAAAAAATGGCAGGCTGTAAAGTTTTTCCTTGTTTACTGCATTTAATCAAAATTACAAGATATTGATACATTATTGTGTGTGTGTGCACATATCTGATTTCAGTTGCCCAAGTTTGAAGGAGATTTGAACTTATTAATCAATATATCATTCCATATTTTCCTTTTCTTGCTAAGTAAGTAAAAAAGGAGTTGAAATGATTTTGATGAAAGAAGTGATGAGATGATGTCGGGATTAAACCATAAGTGTGAGAACCTTGGACCCAGCTCTACTTTCTTTGTATTATACTTGATCACATGGGAAGAGCAGCAGGCCAAACCACAGTCAAGTATTCTGACACCCAACAACTAGAGAAAGAAAATTTCCAATTCAGAGTGGTGGAAATTAATAAAAGGCTGACTTACTAGATTGTGAAATCTTACCAAACTTTTATCTTTACTTAGTTTTTTCTCGAGTTGCTCTATTGTCTCGGCTTGCTTTTTAACAGTTTCTTCTAACTTGAAAATTTCTTGTTCAACCCTAAAAAGCATATTTCCATTAATTACTCTGAGATTTATTATCAAATCAGCATAAATGTAAGAAGCATTTGAATCTGGACCTAATTGTATGTATTTCTGAAATATTTGAAATATTTGCTAAATGCGTCTTATTTCCATCTGGGTTTTGTAGCTACTGTGAAGAATGGAGTTGTGGTGTGAGCAATTAGACATTACTCTTTTTTTTGCTTTGTTTTGCTGGGGATTGAACCCCAGGCTGTTAAGTTTATTCATTTCACATCCTCCAACTCTCACTGAGAATAATGCATGGAAGACTTTTCTAGACTCCAAACTGATACATGTATCATACGGGTTGTATTTCCAGTATTGCATAGCTTATTTGTATTCAAGCACTTTTTTTTTTTTGTTGTTGATTTTGTTTTTTCGAGACAGGGTTTCTCTGTGGCTTTGGAGGCTGTCCTGGAACTAGCTCTTGTAGACCAGGCTGGTCTCGAACTCACAGAGATCTGCCTGCCTCTGCCTCCCGAGTGCTGGAATTAAAGGCGTGTGCCACCACCGCCCGGCCAGTCAAGCACTTTTGTACAATACTTTAAACCATACTTTTGCAGGTGTTCCTTCATCATCCTGTCACTCTCTTCAGCTTGTGTCTCTTGATCACGTGCTTCTTGCAACTAACAGAAAGAAAAAAGACAGGACATATTACTATTCAGGCAAATATCTGCTCACCAACTGTCCATGTGCTGAAATCCTACACTACCTTTATGTTCTTCCTCAGAGTTGAGTGAATTGCTACAACAGGGACCTTGCGGCTCACAAAACCAATCTCTCAAGTGAAAGTTTGTTGACCCTGGTCTTGGACTGATGTTTTTCAATTTGAAATCGTTTTTTTGTGATAGTGTCTCACTATGTAGTCTAAGCTGACCTGAAACTCACAACTCTCTTGGTGTCCACTCCCCATGTGCTGTAATCTAGCTATATATCAGCACATTCAGCATTTGAAATAATTTTCAGAAATTCAAATGGACAAACTTGGTATTGTGGGCAAAACTGGAAGATGCCATTATGGTAAGAATTTCTATTTTTATATTCAAAATACCTCTTCATTAACTGTAACTTGAAAATTTCATACACATGATGGGTAGAGCTTAGACTAGTGAAATATATCAGTCTCCCATTGGGTAACTAAATGCTTCACTGGAGTGTGTAAGAGGCACTCTCTGCACAGATGAAATGACTGAATGTGTAGGTCATGCATTTAGAGGAAGTTAACTTGATGCTCCTCAATTTCTTTATCTGTAAAATAGAAATAGTACTATCCAAGTCAATGGACTCCAGAGAAGACTGAACTAGGAAACTATGTAAAGAATTTAGAGGGCCGTGGATACATCAGGAACTGTGCACCTTTGCTGTTAGCTTTAGAATCAGGCTTATGTTAGATGTGCTAACAGAATTTGGTATTTTAGGCAGAATGCGTGAGAAGGGAAAGATACATGCTGCACTGTATCATGCTTCACACCATTGAGAGGGACAGGAATGAGAATGTGTGACTTTGTGTAAATCCCAGAACTTTATCTAACACTTAGCAGTTCCGTTAGCCGGAACTCCCCTTTCACTCACAATAACTCTCCCTATCTTTCAAAAGTAGATGCTCATGCTTCAGTGAATGCCCACTCCATTGTGCACGTGAGCAGCAGCAATTAAGTATGAAAATGATAATAATAATAATAATAATAATAATAATAATAATAATAATAATTAAAGGCATGAGAGATAGAGAGATGGTTCAGCAGTTAAGAGCACCTGCTTTTCTTCCAGATGACCTGAGTTTGCTTTCCAGAACCCAAGTCAGGTGGCTTACAACACTTGTAACTAAGCTCCAAGGGATCTGACTACGCAGACAAACACACACACATACACACACCCACACACCCCCCCACACACATACCCCACACACACACGGTAGGGGAGAGGGAGAGGGGGAGAGAGAGAAATAAAAATAAATCTTTAACTGTAAACGCATATGATGTTTGGAGAGACATATGTCTAGAGGGACTTGGAGAGGAGAGTGAAGATAGACACATGATCAAATACATTGCATAGGCTTATAGACTTATCCAACATTAAGTAAAACATAATAAAAACAAAAGAAAGTTCTCAGTTCCTTGGTGTAGGCAAACATGCTTTGGGACAACTTTTTCAGAAAACTTTTCAAACCTAGACAGGACATATTTCAATAAAAATACTTAAAGTAACATCTGTGTGGATTAAACCAAGCTTACTTTCCATTCTTTCACTTGGTAAACATGTATAAATCAGGACTTGAGGGCCACAGTTCACAATAATTAATTTATAAATTAAAATCTCTGAATGTAATTTTCAGGGGACATAAATACAGTACACTTTAATGGTGCAAGCACATCAATGTTGTGCTTAAAAGTGGCCTGCATGCACAGCAGAGCCCACATGAGATGGTCTTACATAATGGTACAGTAGACACCTCAAATTATGCAAGCACAGGCTTACAATGCTCATATAGTGCTGAAAATTCCAAGCTACCAATTTCCCCAATCATGTTCTTATCCTTAAACAAAACAGGACTCCCTTACTAAACAAGTAAAGATTATAAGTCACATTATTGAAAAAAATTAGAAGTATGGATTTTTCACCAGTAAATTTACCTTCTTCATATGGTTTCTGAGATGCCTCAGTTCCGTATCTTGTGCTTTAAGGCACATTTCAAGTTGCTGTTTTTCTTTTTTATGTTGCTCTTCTTTTTCAGTTAATTGTTTCTTAATTTCTTCGTGGAGATAATGAGCATTTCTTTGTTGTTCTTCTTGCTTTCCAGCCAATCTGCAAATTGAACAGACTGGCATTAAAATTCATTTTGGAAAAATATAAGTGTATTTTATTATTGTACAGTATTTTATGTAGTCAAACACTTTCCAGTGTCATCTCTACTTTCACAAGTCAGTCAGTCTCTCCAAAGGACACGTGGAATAGAAAGAATATAATCAAAGACTATTCAGGGAATTGATCAGCCTTTGTTACCAGCAATTCTGTGACTGCAGAAAAGGACCTTTTATATTTTTCAGTAAAGTGAAAAGTTGAAAATTAAATTACATATACAGTATTTTGTTGCTGCTAAAATACTGTCTTTCTTAAATACTAATAATGAGCTTTTAGAATTAACAGAAAAATGAAGTTTCTCATTGCTGCTTAGGAAGAAAATAGTATGGACAAGCAACCCAATTGTTTCTTCAAAGGCACTATGTGCTATAATATATATCTCAAAGTAAAATTACATATATATTATAATTTTTTTTACTCTTGACTGACTCTAATATAAAGACCCATACCACTTGTGAGATCCATTTACAAGTAAATTTACATTAAGGAAGGAGGAGACTTGGTCCCTGGGTTTGCTCTAGAGTAGGCTGGGGCAGTACAGGGATGAGAGAGGGAGCCCAGGGGCCAGCACTCCATCCTGTAGCAGGAGCAGCCTTGGCAGTTGATGAGAAGGGGTGAGTGCTGGCGTGTTTCAGAGGGAGCTCTCGGCTACATATATATAATTTTTAACTACACACACACACACACACACACACACACACACACACACAGAGAGAGAAAGAGAGAGAGAGAGACAGAGAGAGACAGAGAGAGACAGAGAGAGAGCGTTTTAGCCAGAGCAGTAGTAAGACCAGGGAAATAGTTTAAAGGTTGAAAACAAGAAAGGAAGATATAAAATATCCATTTGCAAAGGACAAAATCCTACATTCCAATATAATTCTAAATTAAGTACCAAACCTGAAATCATCCAACCAACAAATGGGCTAATGAACTTAATAGACGTTTCTCAAAATGAGAAACATGGAAGAAGTCCATAAGGCAATGCAGCACTGAAAAATTTTCTTCCAAACCCAGCAGTCTGCCCCAACTGTTCACACTTCTTTAAGTAAATAATCATACCCCACACCAATGAGTTCTAGTTGCTGCTCTTCATTTTTACATCTGAGCTGTGATTTCGCCTTTTCTGTTTCTCGTGGCTTCTTTAACATTTCACTAGCTCCGATTTTCATTTTCTTACTTTTTTCTGTAAGTAACTCTGAGTGACTTTGTTTATGTTCTAATATCATTTTATATGAATGAACTGCATCCTGGATTTCCAACAGTCTTCCAGAATCTACATCAGGAAAAGGGTGAGTAGAAATTAAATGCTTGAGCACTTTCTGCATACAAAGGTTTGTACGTTTTAATATTCTGTCATTCATGGCAAACAAATGCAGACTGAATGACTACAATCTGGAATATAATATATTAAGATTTTCCAGATAAGGCAGACTAGTTAACTGCTTTTATTTATCTTAAATCAGATGGAGAAGACAGATAAAATGACCATTATGGATTTAGATGGATGCTATGCTGAAGCAGAATCCTGGGGTTCCATAGAGTAACTCTTTGCTATGGCCAGGAAGATTTTCCACAGAAGAGATTGCTACACTAGGAGTTAAAGGTCAGAGAATAAAGATCTGTTCAGAAGGTGAAGAAGATCCTAGCTAATCTAGGTAGTGGGCTTGGACTTTGTGGCAATATCCTTCTAAGCAATAAAGAGAAATAGACTCTGATTTTGATAATGTTACACACAGAAATAAAACACCCCGAAGAATGTGAGAGCTGGAATATGGGATATAGGGCTATATCTGTGCATCTGCATATGTATATATGGAGGGAGGGAGGGAGGGAGGGAGAGAGAGAGAGAGAGAGAGAGAGAGAGAGAGAGAGAGAGAGAGGTTAACAAATAAGAAGCCCAGGGCTAGGAATGGATTAACTCTTTTGGAACTGTTAGCCACAGACCACAAAACATTACAAGTTACTGCTAATGTTACAATTGTCCTGCAGAGTTTGACAGTCAGGCCTTATTTCTGAAGACACCATGAAGTTGAGTCATAGAGTTTAGACATATTAAGCTATTGCTGATTTGGAAGATGAATCCCTATTGGCTAGCTTTCATAGTACTGGCGGGTACTATGCATGCATGGTTCCAGAGGAGAAAATTGTCAATCATATCCAGCTGTGAATCTGAGAGCTACAAACAGCACCTGGTCTAGTAAGATATGCTGCGTGGTGCAATAATGGCATGAATATCATCAGAGTCACCAAGCACCCTCTGGTTGGTTTTAAGCCTTACTCCACAAAATGAAATCCACGTCTTGGTACCATTTCTACGCCAAGAACCTGTGGCTACAAAGGTCATAGGCTTTAGGGGAGAATCTATTACACTGCTAACTGGACATAGTGTTAAATCTACTCCTAAGAACTTACTGTACCCATAGATTAATACATTTCTCAACCCTCCATGTTTTGGACAGACTTATATTGAGGGTGGGCAAAAAGAAGGGGCAGAATTATGTTGAAAATGTGCTAACTGATTTAAAGTTGCATACATTGTAGTTGCAGACAAATCAGCTACAAACAACATGCTGCAATTACTAAAGAAATTAATTTTCTCACTGAAAAGATAAAAGTTGAGGAAGACACCAGAAGATGAAAAGAGTGCTCACACTCTCAGAATATTAGAATTTACTTTATAAAACAGATACTATTTGAATATGACTTGTAAAGTAGTACAAATTCCTCACTGTCAATGAAATTTCTAGCAGAATGAGAAAAAAAGTTAGAATTCAAAAGGAATATAAATAGCCAAAATAATTCCAAGGAGTGGTATCAGTGCCAACTTACAGTTATGCTACAGGGCCACAGTAGTAAAAACAGAATGGCACTGGCATAATAGAAACACACAATAGAAAGAAGAGAAAAGGGTTCCGAAAATGGCCCCAACCCGATATAGACTCCTTACTTCTAATATAATTTCCAAAAATATGACTTAGTGAAAAGTCAAGCTCTTCAAAAATGTGCAGAGAAAATAGTATGTTAACCTGCATGCTTATGTCTCACACTACATCAAAAATTGGGAGCCCATTCCCTATGGAGGGATACTATTGCAGCCCAGATACAGCAAGGAGGGCCTAGGCCCTCTCCCAAACAATATGACAGACTTTGAAGATCCCTGGTGGAGGGCCTCATTATCCCTGGGGAGGAGTTTGGGGATGGGTTGGGGGGTTGGTGGGGAACATGGGAGGAAGGAAGGGTGAGGGAATGGGGAAGGATGGATATGTAAAAAAGAAAAAAATGCTTGAAATTATAATCTTCTTTTGTGTTTGGGGAAAAAAAAAGAATCCTCTCATTCAAAAAAAAAAAAAAAAAAAAAGTCCTCTATGGACAACCCCAAGTTCTGAATTTGAAGACTGCCTCAGCATTAATACTAAAGGTCTTACATTTATGCAGTAGTCTAACCTTTATAGTTCATTTGAAGTTGGTCAACTATCATCAATATATTGTCATAATCAGGCAGAATGTCATCCTCAGAGGCTGATTGGGATAACTGGTGATCGTCTATGGCATCCAGGTGTTCTACAGCCTACAAAATAAACAATATACTATTGGGAACATCCTCAAATGCTTATACTATATGACAAATGTGTCAGTATATTAGCTGTACATCGTTGTGATTAGAATTTCTTGTAGATATGAAGGGAACTGATTTTTCCAAAGATTATCACTGCTTCAATATACATTTCAGTAGATAACAAAAAATTCTAGATCTTTTCACTTCAGTTTTTATAATGTTTTTATTTCACACATATTTTATAATGTATCACTTCCTTTGTAAATTATTTTGAGCAAAAATGCTGTTTTAAATTTACTTTTACAGCCAGGCAGTGGTGGCGCACGCCCTTAGTCCCAGCACTCGGGAGGCAGAGGCAGGCAGGTCTCTGTGAGTTTGAGACCAGTCTGGTCTACAAAAGCTAGTTCCAGGACAGCCTCCAAAGCCACAGAGAAACCCTGTCTCGAAAAACCAAAAAAAAAAAAATTACTTTTACAGTACCTTATTCTTTTCATCACATATTTTCTCATTCAGCCTACAAAGGAGACAGAAGTGTCTGTTCAGTATTTAAATAAGAAAAGCATAGATAATATTGAAAACTATTATGTTTTTTAGAAAACCCATACATTTGTGATTTATCCTACCCCCAAATTCATAAATTATTTCAAATATGGTAGGCTTCTACAAGGGAGGTCCTGTTAAAACAGAAAGTAACATTAAGGAAAAAAACATTGTCACTAAAATCATTTAGATAATTGAATTATGAACAAACTTTCTGACAGTGAATGCAACAAGAAAATATGATATTACTACTATTGTTTTATGGAAAGTAATATGTCGACTTTTGTTATTATCATTTTTCATAAAAATAAATCTTTATGAATGCTAACCCCAGTTGAAGAATAACACATAAAGCCCCAAAGAAGGTCAATCCTTTCCTAGTGAAGATAGGAGTTAGCTTGTTCAGGACCTCCACTGTCATCTAAATTCAGTTTAATTTCCATGACAATTCTGTAGGCAAATGACAGTATTTTATAAATGAAAGGACTAGGAGAAGGAAGACTAAGGCCCTTCACTAAGTGAAGAGAGACGAAGAACTACAGCCAATAAATGGCTCCTGCAAGGTAGAATCGATTTTTCCAGGGGCAACCTCCCTAGTAGGCTATCCAGTCCTGTAAACACATGTACTGTGCACAACACTAAGCGGACTCAGCAGTATGCATATATGCATGTGACAATAATGTTTATGAAGAAGTCAATTATGAAGAAGTCATGAACTTGAGAAGGTGTTGGGAAACACTGGAGGAGTTGGAGCACGGAGAAGGAAGGGTGGAAGTAATTAAATATAGTACTCATGTATGAAAATCTCAAAAAGGTAAAAAAAAATTACATTAAAATGGATAATTTGAGGGCACTTTCCACTAAGCAACTATAAGTATACAAAGCTATTGTTTATATTAAAATATGAATTCTATAGTAAGAATAAAAATGAATAAATAGTCTAGTTTACAAACTGAGCTTATTTTAAATATATATGAAAGCACTGTGGAAATATAACAAAATATGTTTACAAAGGAGAATATAATGTATTAGCAGAATCTTGTACTTAGCCAAAATGTCACAATTAGTCTCCTGGGGCTGCATTTAACCATTTATTTGCCTGCAGTTCTTTTCTGTTAACCATTTCTTGTGATGTTGGGGATTTCAACCAAGGGCAGCCCCATATGACCCAAGCACTGTACCACTGAACTATATCTGACACTTGAAAATATTGTAATTAAAAAAATATTATTCACATTATTCAGTTGTTATCTCTAGCTGATTTTGGACTACTGCAACAGACAATTTAATGCCAGCAAACACTAAAATGTTTACTATCTGATTGTTTACAGAAAAACTATCCCCTGATGGTTTATAACAATGCATGAGTTTCTTCCCTTATTGCTGTGATAAAGACCTAAAGAGTTAGTTAGGGGAAGAAGGGTTTAGGGTTGCTAAAGGGTTCATGGCAGCTCCCTTTCTCCCTTCCAGCTCATTGAACAGTGTTGCCTACAGTAATGGCAGGTTCTGGTAACCAATCTATAGAAATGTTCACAAACTGGCCCATAGGTGTTTGTCTATTTGTTGTTGCACATCCTGTCAAGATGACAATATAACTACGACTACCCCATCCTTGTCAACGTGACACCCAAACATGTGACTGTTAAATTAGAATCTTTATTATGTACCCCAAATACCTGATTGTGCAAGTTAAGCTGTGGGTATAAAAGATATTGTGAAACAGACAAGGATACTTGCTACAAATTTATCCTTCAAAAAGTATTTGTCGAACAGGGTAGTGGTGGCACATATCTTTAATTCCAGCATATGGGAGGCAAAGGAAAGTGGATCTCTATGAGTTCAAGACCAGCCTGCTCTACAGATCGAGTATTAGGACAGGCTCCAAAGCTACAGAGAGAAACCCTGTCTCAAAAAACAAAAAGTACTTGTCAACTTTAGTCAGCAACACTGTCATGGAAAAACATCTTCCTCAGTTCTTACAGCCTTGCCATTATCTTTCTAATAAAACAGGCATCAGTATAGTGGGCAACAATGTTATCCCATTATATTCTTTTGATGTAAGTGCCAGACTGAACATCCAGAGCAAAAGCATGAGATGTGTTAAGCATGAACACTAGGCCAAGTTAGAATTAGTTTCTTAAGACAACAGCAATGATGCACTATTAAATATTACCATACTTACCCAACATGCTTTTTTGTTGTAACAGGAAATTGGTGGTTACCAGCCTTCCCAAAATGGCTTTGTATGATGAATTCATGTCTAATACCATTATTAGAAGTGGCAGCAGCAGCTGCATCATCATCTTCCTCATCCTTGGGGGAAGCAGCAGTAGCTGCATCATCATCTTCCTCATCCTTGGGGGAAGCAGCAGTAGCTGCTGCATCACCATCACCATCATCACCATCATTACCATCATCATCATCATCATCATCATCATCATCATCACCATCATCATCATAGTAGTCATCATCACCATCATCACCATCATCATCATCATCCTCATCCTCATCATCATCATCATCATCGGTGGTAGCAGCAGGGGCAATAGCAGTGTTGCCATAAGATGGCTTTTCCACTGTGTCTGTCCTGTTGCTGAGTCCTGTCTTCTTTTTTTGTTTAAGCTGTAACAGAAATAAGCTACTAAGGATTCTGACACCTTCTAATAAAAATAGCTTTGTTTTCATCAACTTTTGTCACTTAACCCAGTTCCATTTTCATCATTTTAGTTAACAAGACCTGTTTTGGTGTGTAGTTCAATAGTGTCATTAAAGTATTTTTCATCCCATAGTTTTCTTTTGAATCACTGTTTTCTGTGTAAAATGTTTACTGTCTGTAAGACACATCTGTGTAGGAAGACATGCATGTGTCTGTGACTGTTGTGTGACTTGGTCTATTTGTGAAACTCTAACAACAGGAGCAGGGCCTGTTCCTAATGCTTTGGCTGGCTCTTGGGAGCCTATTCCTCATACTGGGTGGCTTTGCCAAGCTTTAATACAAGGGGAGGAGTTTAGTCTTATTGCAACTTAATATGCCTTGTTTTGTTGCTACCCATAGGAGACCTGTCCCTTTCTGAACGGAAACAAAGGAGGAATGGATGTAGGGAGGGTGTTGAGTGGAGGGGAGTTGGTGGGGGGGATGAGAGGAGAGAAGTGAGGAGAATTGGTCAGGATGTAAAAAAATAGACACCTTTTGGGTTTTCCTAGCAAGATTTCATCTCATGTTATTAAGAGTCAATTTAGAGAATTCAGTATTGTGTGACTCCCATAACAAATGATTGTTTTAACCTGAATTAATATCCCATTTAATATTCTTCTTGGAAGATAAATAGAAAGGCTGAAGATGATCCAGGAATCAAGCGTTTAGAGTTTTCATTCTCCTCTAGCTGATGTGAACAGTTGTATAATATTTTCCATTTTAATAGTCCTTGTTTGATGAATAGTTCCTCCAGCTTTTATACTTGAGGAATGGCTAGCTGTACAGATGTCACCTCTGTCACAATCTGTACTTAATTCTGATTCCTGAGAAAATTTCTTTTTGAAGATGGAATTATAAACATTAGTTTGATTTGAATCTTAATTACATTGTTAAGGTATGTTTTAAAAAACTAAATTTACAACTCACTTAAAATAAAATAAATTTAGCCTTAAGTAATCATGGCCATTGTAAAAGACAAACTAAGAAACTAAATTCATCTTTTAAGCTTCACACTATATTTTTTATCTGCTACCCAAATACTGCCAAACACTCCGGGAAAAAAAAAAAAAAGTGAAATTTACCTTAGCCTAAGTCCAAATTAAAATATAAACAGCAATCTTGACTCTTTATAATTTTGAATGAACTTAATTGATTGTGTGAAATTTACCAAAATCAAGTTAAATGACTCTAAAACTATAAAGGCTTCTCCCATAAAATTTTAATATATAGTATCTTTAATTTGTGAGCATTTACAGTGAATTTAAGCCATTTATCCAAAGTTCTATAACTGGTGAATAAGTGAATTTTAAACTAGCTAGGAACCAAAATCAATTCAGCTTCAAAAGAAATCAAATTTCTACATTGTAATTCAAATTGTATGCTATGATAGTCTTTTGTACCAATATGAGCTATCTGTATAAATTCAATCTAATATATTATTATATCTACTCCAGTTAACAGTTAACAGCAGTTGAATAAAAATCCCCAAATTTGTACATTGAAATGAAATATATTAGGATGCCATTCTTTACATCAAAATATCAACTGTCCCTAACTGGAAGGTGTCATTTTCTTATCCTAGATAGCTGAATTAATCTTATGACACAGTTTCCTTTTTTTCCCTTTCTTATTTAAATATTAGAAACAAGCTTCATTTACATGTGAATCCCAGTTCCCTCACACTCCCCTGGCCCCCACCAACCCCCTATCCCATCCCCTTTCTGCTCCCCAGGGAGGGTGAGTCCTTTGATGGGGGATCTTCAAAGTCTGTCATGTCATTTGGAGCTGGGCCTAGACCCTCCCCCGTGTGTCTAGGCTGAGAGATCATCCCTCTATGTGGAGTGGGTTCCCAAAGTCCATTCATGTACTAGGGATAAATAGTGATCCACTACCAGAGGCCCCATAGATTAACCAGACCTCCAAACTGACATCCTCATTCATAAGGTCTGGAACAGTCCTATGTTAGTTTCCCAGCTATCAGTATGGGGTCCATGAGCTCCCCCTTGTAAGGTCAGCTGTTTATAATATAAATGTTGAAGTCAGTCACTGACAAGAAGGAAACACTACATTTTTGATGTTGCAGATACTGAATGTTAATAAGAATTAGCAAAATTTGACCTGATAGGATAATTGCCCAAATGATAAACACAATTTAGTAGCTATCCAATGTTCACAGAGTCCATTAGTAATAAAATCTAAATATGATATTACTTTATCATGGAAGGATATACATATACATAGAATGCAAAAATTCAAAACTTTCCCTTCACTTCAAAGGAAAAACTTCTTAAAACTTTTATGAATATTGTAATTTTATATATATTTCAGCACTTTTCAAATTAAATATTATCTACAAATTCTGCAATGAAGTATAAAATGTTATTTTACTTTGTCTGTGCTACATTATTAAACAAAGTACATTAAATGAGAATTTTAAATTGAAAAATTACACACCAGTGGCTGACTGTTACTGTTGATGTCATCCTTCTTCTGTTCTTCTCTGGATGCCACATATAAGTTTAGTTCTGCTGAAAATCCAAACATTTAAAACAAAGTACAAAGAAAAGTTCAATCGAATGACAGTCTTTATAACAACATATAATTGCAAGATGACTCTGTAGGTAAAGAAAGATACTTGCTGACAGTACTAATGACCTGAGTTTATGCCCAGGACCAACAGAGTGGAAGGAGAGAACTGACTCCTTCAAGTTGCAGTAATGTAGCCCTGTCATCCACGAAAACATACATATACTAAATGAACAACTAAACACATGTAAAACATTAAAAATCAAAGTTTTATTTTCAAAAGAAATTGCTTAAGCCCAGTCTTTACTGCTACTCCCCTTTCCTGGGTACACACTTTTAAACAGATATTGGAGATTACCAAACATATTCGCACTCCACTTGGGCAGACACTATGCTGTATTGCATTCAGAAGTAGAAAGTTATCAGTGAACAAACCCTCAGAGACAACTTTTTGCTTTTGTTTTTTTAAGACAGGGTTTTTCTGTGTAGCCTTAGTTATCCTCAGTTGATCTGGACTCACTCTGTAGATCAGGCTGGCCTCCATCTCACAGAGACCGGCCTTTCTCTGGTTGCTGGGATTAAAGGTGTGCATCACCAGTGACTAGATGGAGACAACATTTTGCACACCACAGAAACATTCAAACGATCCCATACGCCATTTTCTATTTCAGCACTGATACATAAACAATCTGCCTTTTATGTATCAAAAAATGATGTTCTTTTCCCTCCTTTATCTATGACTATGATGTCCCTTCCATCTGAAAATACTTTGTCTATATTTCTAACAAGATTACCTTCCTTTAAGATCCATCCATGGTGGGAAGTTGTCACTGATTGTGGCAATTTTATTCTATTAGAACAAGTATATCTTTTGAGTTCCTTTTGACTTTATCATTTTTTATTGTCCCTATGGTACTTGCAATTTAAACTAGTGTTGCATGCCTACTTCTTTCCTTCCTGAACTGGGAGGGAGCAAGCTTTTCGTATTATTTTCATACACAGGATCATGAATTTCTGCTTTGTTTTCCTAGCACTCCCCACATTTCATGTATTTCTTTCTAATTTTCCTGTTTGCACTGTTCTTCATTATAGCTCAACATTTCTCAGAAGCCTGAATATTTTGAAATTGATCTAAACTGGCATTCCCATTTGAAGCCTATGCTGAATTTGATATCAAAGTTATTAGCATTTGGGTTCTATCTGAACTCACTGTTTGTATAATTAAACTGTTTTCATTGGCTCATGGCATATACTGGTGCTCTTTGAATAATTACTCTACCAAATTGCCTTCAACTAAATAGAGTTCTGACCTTTCTTTTGTCCATTTGCCACCTCTTCTCCTCTGGGATCTGCAATCCTGGGGAAATGGACAATATTCTTCTTCTCTGCATGAGGCTCATGGAGGATCTGTTGAAATCAGAGGAAAGAAAGATCTTAACAAAGATGTCTCATGTGTTACTGGGAAAGATGGCTTAGTTTCTTATTTCAAAGCAGTAACACTGGAAAATAAGGGCTGGTTGTACTGAAACTCCAAACTGAGTAGAGAGCCTCACTAGGTTATCTGTAATTTATATAGCACTGACATTCACTTTCTTGTAGTTGTAGAGTCCTACACAAACCAATCATGTAAGGCTGAAGGACACATACTCATAGGCAGTCTATGTCAACAACAAATAGTTTTGAATATAAAAGTATATGTTGTTTTCCTCAGTAAATTATAATACATATGTTAAAATCTTTTAAAAAATTGCTTAACAGTTTCATATATTAATAAATGATTCCTTTCCCCCTCCTTCCCTTTTCTACTGTATCCCTTATTCCTAACATACTCCCAAGCTTTTTTCCTTTCTTCTATTGTGTGACCCACTGAGTGTAACTAGAGTTACTTGCTTGAGTGTACATAGGAAGCTATTTACTGAAGCAAGTGCTCAGTATATATAAATACATATATCCCAAGTTAGACTACTGAAGAAAATGACAGCCTTTCCTTAACATTTGTTAACTGCCAATAATGACAAGCCTGTCATGGAGGTAACCAACCACTTTTTGGTTGGATTTTGGCTCACTCCTTAGGAAGGTACTCATGTCTGCTCTATCAGCTTGATCAAGAGTTCATAGCTAGAGAGGTAATTTGTCTTAGGGGGAAACCTACTAACC